CGTTAATCCGAACCCAGATCAAGGCCCGAGCCCATCCCGAGCCCGGCCCGAGCAGGCCGATGTGTTCGACAACAGGTCTAATAATTTTCAAGAAACTATGGATGTAAATTCAAACATGGATGGATGAACATCTTCAATCCAAATACTATGATCAAATCGGATTTAGATGAGTACAGCAACTTATATACTATTATCCAAGCATATACTTATATTTATACACATATCATAACTCTCTCAATCTAACAATAAATCATCTAACCATCCATGTCTTTGAATATGCACAAGCAAACTAGCTAATCATCCAGTCAGGTCTGGAGTTTTTCTAAGGCATCTTGTCCTCGGGATCTACCGAAGATCTACCTGCGAATTGTTTGGTGTAAACTCGGTGTCTTCTCTCTCGTGCATAGATTACCCAAAATATTAACGAGAGCATCACAGCAGCCGATACCAAGACTAGACCAATATATATCCATTGAGAATAACGACGCAGACCAGGACAGTAGGTCTTACTAATGTCTGTGAAAGTATTTCGGACAAATGTACAGTCTTGCAGATCAACCAAGAAGGGACCGTAATGATACAATCCAAAACTCACATTTACTGCAGCTTCGAGTTTCCTGTAAACCATTGGCGTTACACGCCCCTGCGTTGTACAAACCCCCGATGCTGAAACTTCGCACACAAAGCCCTTCCACACCTGTTCGAAATACATATCAGTCAATCGATTATCAAATATTTCGAGGAATGACATTTATTGGGATGTCCCGTCCGCTATGTCCGTCTCAAACTAAATAAAAACTTAAAAGGATTTTTCATCATGTCTTTGATAAATACCTGAGTAGCATTGTTGAGGTCCACCTCACCAGGTTGACATTGTCGATCAGTGAGATTAGAATTAAATGGGTTGCAAAGAATCGGCATTAGGGGACCGGATTGATTGTAATTTACACGAATTGACTGGGCTGGAAAATTTCCGTTGACTGGAAAATTTCTGTTGGCAACAGTGCCAACGAAGGTGTCAATCAAATTCACGAGTTGGGAAGCAACATTCTTTGTCTGTTGCAAGGTTTCTTGGGCAGTTGCATTGTCCACACAAGGAAGAATGTCGTCTAAAGCCGTGTGGGCTGTCGGGTTCTGAACCCATTCATCCATTGCAACGCATGTATCTGCAACCACACTACCAAATTGCAGGAAAAAAATAACTCCTTCAGACAACAAGCTTCTCAATGAACACACCAATAGCTTGTAGAAAGGTTTCAGTTGAGCAAAAAATCATCTCAATTTTGACCAATGAAGCATCCCACTTTCTACGATTGCAGAAACCTTATAAACTCCGGACAAATCAGACTAAAACCTTTAGAAGTAACCAAAAGTTTTAAATGATTCCTTTTTAAAAAATTAAGTTCCTTTTTCAAAAACAAGAAATATCAACTCTCCGGTTATAGGATCATTAGATTCAGAGCAAGATTTTCTGCATCTAAAAATACAGTATTAAAGAAACGGAAACGAGTTTT